TAATGTTTCTAGTGTTCTTCATTACAATTCATTATAATTTTACAATGCATTCTGAAGGAGATATGAACAAATACATTTGAGTTCAACAAAAAATCATCAAACCCTAAACACCATTAAGATGCACTGCTGTAACCAATTCCCCTAATTATGATGACAGAAACAATTAAGATAATTTATTCGGATTAAAGTTACTTATGTACAGTACCATAAAAGAATTGAACAACAATTCAACAACTCCTTTTATTGTAATTAAATTGATTTTATTCTTTCATAATAAAATCCATTTTCATACTTCATATGGTCCCAGAGCAATACATGGATCTACAATAAACGTTGAAAAAAAAAGCTAAATTTTCACTGAATTTGGTCACATGCTCATGAAACAACAAAAGTAATAAATCTTCTGTTCTCTGATAAAAAGACCTTGCCTATAACTTTCGACCTTTCGTATAAAAATCGAATAACCCCTTGTAGAATGCAGACAGGGCCTGTAATTATCAATAGCACATTTCTTAAAAATGTTCTTGTTTTAAAATATGCTAACCTCTTTTAATGGTCAGATGCAAAACATACTCAGTATTAGAAAGCCCGCATATTGTAATGCTTACTATGGAATTCAAGTAAAATAGTAATACCTACTATAGTGAAAAATACTCTGGCTATAATCTTGCCACTCTTGGGAATTGCGACACATGAAGAGCTGTCTGTTTCTGGTTCAAACACAACAGAGTTAGCAATGATCAGAGGTGTTCAGTGCATCTCTCTGGCAATAACACAAATTTAGAGACACCTATCAGGACATAATCACAGTAAGCTTCTGGCTTTCTTGTATTTTAAGGAGTTTCCACTCACCCAGCTAAAAGAACCAAAGTAACAGCATATTAGTGAGCAGTCAGCACTCAAAATATTTACTACAAATTATCAGTAGAGGGAGACATTTTAATTTTTTTTTAGTTGTCACATATAACCTGTACATTGTCAGGACTATGCTTATCTGCTATTTCCATTATTCTTAGGATTTCTCATTTGCAACACAAGCAAATATCAAATTTTAAATGGAGAGCACAGCACCTAAAACAGAAACAGAAAATGCAAATGCAAAAGCTT